TGGCATTTTTTTATGCCCACTCCAATAGCACAGGAAAAATTAATGATAGTGCCAATTGGGACAAGATGGGGTCTCTTAGACATCATTTGTATTTGTGTAAATTATTACAGTCATCTGGAAAAGCATAATTTATCAAGGGTTGTAAAATGTTTATAACCAATGATAAGAGTAAATCTATTTGTTAAGAGTTTTTCTAGGGAATTAATTCAAAATATGAAAAAAATTTTATGTGCATAAAGATAATGATTTCAGCATAATTCATCACAATAAATAATGGAAGGCAACCTAATACTAGCAGTTAAGGAATATTTGTGCTAACTATGGCTCATTAAATTTCATTCACTAAATTATGCTTTGAGTGGCCATTATGGCACTGTGTGTGTGTGTGTGTGTGTGTGTGTGTATGTTTATGTGTATATGTGTATGCGTATAGCATCACAAGATGGAAAATCATTTAGCCACTAAGTGATGTTAGTAAGCCTATGCAATTTTTGTGTATATACCTATATATATAAAATATTACAAAAGAAAGTACAGTTGAAAAAGTAGAAAATTATTAATATATGCACACTGATATCAGACATTCATAAAATATACATAAAAATATTCATATACATAATGATTATAGCTAGAGCCATGGTTCAACATTCACAGGTGAAAATACTGGCTCAGAAAAGACAAAAATACTAATACTGTTAGTGTCAGGCTATAGTGATTTTCCCCTTTCTACTCTGTGTTCTGGACTGCTACAGTGTTATTAATTAATAATAAAAAAATGCAGAGACCTTCTAAATTTGCATTTTGCTTCAATCTTTTGGTATATTCCTTTTTGCACTAATTTTTATAAGATCTAACATTGTACAATTCACTTTTAAGACTTGGGGTATTTATTAAAAGAAAGCAGATTCTAAAACTCTTGTTTAAATAATGGAAGTAATCTAATAGAGTGACAGAATTTTTCAACCTTTAGGTGTGTGAAGGAAGAGGGCGGCACCAATAATTCTCCTCTTGTATAATAAAACTAAAAAAAAAAAATACACCTGAAAAAATTCACACATATTTATATCTTATAGGAAGTAGAGATGTATAATACACATTTAAATGGGCAAAAAGTTATGTAGCAAGAAAACCAATCAAAATTACAAACTTTTTAGAGTGTTAAGGGCTGCTTTCACAGGACAGAGCAGTAATTTCTGAGGTATAGGTGTCTTACAAATTCCTTTTAAAAATATTCTTTTTACTTTTAAAAATAAATTTTATTGTGTATATGTAAGGTATACAACATGATGTTATGGGATACATACACATAGTAAAATGGTTACTATAGTGAAGCGATTACCATATCCATCATCTCGTGTAGTTGCCATTTTTAGTGTTTGTTTTTGTGACAAGGGCAGGTAAAATCTACTCATTTCGCAGGAATCCTAAATGCAGTACAGTTCTGTTAACTGTAGTCATCATGTTGTACATTAGGTCTCTGGAGTTGTTCATTCTACGTATCTGCTAATCTCTAACCTACATCTTCCCATTTCCACCCTCCCCAACACCCATGGTAACTACTGTGTTATTCTCTATCTTTATATATTTGACTTTTTTTTTTAAGATTCCAGATACGAGTGAGATCATGCAGTATTTGTCTTGCTATACTTAGCTTATTTTACTCAGCGTAACATCCTCCAGTTTCATCCATGTTGTTGTGTGTAGCAGGATTTCCTTTTATGTGGCTGGATAGTATTCCATTGTGTTATACCACCTTTTCTTTATTTATGCATCCATTGACAGACACTTAGGTTCTTCCCATTATCTTGGCTATTGTGAATAATGTTGTGATACACGTGGGACTGCAGATATCTTTGCACAATGGCGATTTCGTTTCCTTTGGCTATATGTATAGAAGCCAGCTCAAGCATTTATCATTTCCTTGAGTTGCGTACATTACAGATTTTCTCTCTTCTGGCTATTTTAAAATATACCATAAATTATTCTTAACTATAGTCACCCTACTATGCTATAGAACCCAGAACTTACTCTTCCTATCTAACTGTAATTTTGTAGTTGTTGACCAATGTCTCCCCATTACTCCCTTCTCCCTCCCCTCCCCAGCCTCTGGTAACCACTATTCTACTTTGTACTTTATGAAATCAGGTTTTTCGTGTTCCACAAATGAATGAGATCATGTAGCATTTGTCTTTCTGTGCCTGGATTATGCCACTTAACATAATGTCCTCCAGGTTTAATCCATGTTGTGGCAAATGATGGGATTTCATTTTTTATAGCTGAATAGTATTCCATTGTGTATATACCACATTTTTTTTAACCATTCATCTGTTGACGGACACTTAGGTTGGATTCCTAATCTTGGCTATTGTGAACAGAGCTGCAGTAAACATGGGAGTGCACATATCTCTTTAACATGCTGATTTCATTTCCTTTGGATATATGCCCAGTAGTGGGACTGCAGGATCATGTGGTGGATCTATTTTTAATTTTTTGAGGAAACTCCATACTCTTTTCCGTAATGGCGGTACCAATAAACATTCCCACCAACAATGTATAAGGGTTTCCTTTTCTCTACATCTATACCAGCATTTGTTATTTTTTGTCTTTTTGATAATAGCTATTCTAATTGGGGTGAGGTTATGTCATATTGTGGTTTTGATTTGCATTTCCCCGATGATTAGTGATATCGAACATTTTTTTTTATGTACCTGTTGGCCATTTGTATGTCTTCTTGTGAGAAATGTCTATTCAAGTCCTTTGCCCATTTTTCCATTGGATTATGACAGTTTCCTAAAAAGTTAAGCCTAAACCTACCATATAACCCAGCCATTTTACTCCTAGGTATTTATGCAAGAGCAAAGAAAACATGTGCCCAGGGACATGTCCGTGAATATTTTAGCAGCTTTATTTGTAATAGCCCAAAACTGGGAACAAACTCAAATGTCTGTCCACATGCAAATAGATATAACACGTGGTATATCCACGTTAAGGAATACTGCTCAGCAAGTAAAAGGAATGACTATTGACACTGACAATAACATGGATGAATCTCAGAATAATTACACTGAGTGAAAGAAGCCAGGCAAAAAGAGTATACATTATATGATTCCATTGATAGAACATTCTAGAAAATGAAAACAAACTATAGAGTTGGAGTAGATCAGTGGTTCCAGGGGGCCAGAGTGAGGAAAGGAATGGATTAGGGAAGGACAGAAAAGGAAACTTTTGGGCATGATGGATCTTCTAATTATCTTAATTATGGTGATAGTTTTATGGGGAGATACATATATATGTCAAAAATCATCAAGTTGTACACTTTAAATATATGTGGCTTTTTTGTCAATTATACCTCAATAAAGCTATTTAAAAATCATAATATAGAAAAGAAATGGTGGAAAGAACATTTTAATAAATTAAAAAGGACTGTGTAATGGTTTGTATTTACAAGGGATACTTATGACACAAAAATCAGAGTGGAATTTCCATATATCATCCAATTGTGAAAAAAATTAACAGTGATTCGAGCTCATTCTCACTCCTGTTTAAGAAACATAGAAATGCAAACTCACTCCTCCCCACCCCAGCAGTTACGCTGGTGGCCCCTACTTTCCCCTAGACAAGCACTGTCAGTCAATTAAAGATGACGCTTAATTTTAAATTAGAATATTTGGGAAAATATTTAGCTTTCTTTTGGATAAACCTTCATTAATTTTTAAATGACATAAAACCATGTCAATAAAAAATAGGAAAGAAAAATTAACAATTCTCCATAGCCTAAATATGCAGTGAATTACAGAATGTTCCTTTGGTGGGGCCTGGCCTTTTTTGTGTGTGGAATGAAAGATGATGCTTGAATTTTGGCAAATTTTTGGTGAATATCTATGAAGCACAAAAATTTTATAAATTCGTGATTAAATTCCCATGACTTTTCTCTGCTCAAAAAATTAGATTACCGTTACCAGGAATAAATCTAGGATCCCACCTTTATCACTACTTCTTCCTATCAGTAAGCAGCAGCATGACTTATAAGAAACTGTACATTTTAATTTAAAAAATAAGAAAAGAAAAAAATAGGGGAGCTGGGGGAAATGGAGGTATATATTTTGTATAATTTTCTGGCAGATAACATTCAAAACAATGGTTTAAGAGGCATAATTCTTTTTCAGTGTGAGAAAGAGAGAGATACATGTATTGATGGTTTCAGAGTTTTCAAGTAACATTGTGATACCTAAAAATGATCAATAATTGCACACTGTAACTAACCCACCTCTACAGAAAGAAAAGGACTGATGATCCCTTATGTCCCTGTTAGATCTATCAGCCAGCAACATTGTTCTCCGTTAGAGATAACAGGTCATTCTCCATATATCTGCATGAATAGCGTTCTGGCATCTAACTTCACTTTGTTTTCCTTAGCCCCTGCTCATACCACAGTTTTGTGTGGCAGACATACACACACACACACACACACACACACACACACACACACAAATATGTTTATGTAATTTTGAAATTGTATTTACTTGATCTGACTGGTGAATTAAAATGTAAAATCTGGTCTGGTCCAAAGCAGTAAGAACAGTGTAAGAGGCTTCTGCTTGGTCTACCCAGGCTTGTTGGCATGATAAAATCCAAGTCACCTACAGCCAAGTACAGACGATTACCACTTTGTCCTCCTTTATCAGACCTTAGTGAGTTAAGGTTGGGAAACTTTCTGGGCATTTTGTATCCAATTTGTGCCTCTCACACATGTAGAAAACCTTCTTCTTCCCATGGTTAGCACACGTATGCTCACCTTGCAGTGCGCCTTAGTCTCCCCGAAATCCCCCAAACAGGAGCTGATGAACAGTCATACAGGGTGTGCCACTGGGGACGTGTCAGGCGAGCGATGGGCTGAGAGGGTAGTTTTTGCAGGGTCAGGGTCTTGGTTTACCTGGTTACACAGAGTTGCTGAGAGAAACAAACAAGAGTGGACTTCACCGTCGGCTCTCTTTCTCCAGAAGGATGTGTTGAAATCCGATCTCATCGTGTGTGCGGTCGCTGCCGTCCTCTCGTTTGCAGTCAGTGCCAGCACCGTGTTCCTGTCATTACGAGTATGTATCCCTTCAACTCTGCGCTCTTCCTGCCTCCTCATGCTCCTTAACAACAAAGCTGTTGTGATGCCACAGGGTATTGACAAGATAGTGGAGTCAGAGGAAGAAAGCACAATGCCTGTTGAGAGGGTTAAGGCCTGTATCCATGTGCTGTGAACAGTTGTGTCCAAGACACGATTTGGTCCATATCACAGATTTGGTTTGAGGGCTCTACCCTGACCCTTCCCCCGTGTGGGGAGTTGTTTTGTTTGCAAGAGCAATAGCATATCTTGTGGAATCCGCTGTGAGGACAGTTGGTAGTGAGAAGACACTAGCGGTGCACCAGCCTGAGTAGAGAAGAGAGGTGTTACCATATTGGGATGCGATGGAGATCATGGAGCCAAAAGAATTACTGGAACACAATTGCTGTCTCTATTAAAAAAATATTGTACATGTACAAACTCCCCTTTTCATGAGGAAATGTATTAGCTACATTTATAATTCTCCACCTCTCTTTAAAAGAAAACTATAAAAATGCCTCCTGAGGGGCAGAATTCGCTTGGCCTCTGGACTTACACAGGCCTCGTCTCTGTCCTCATCTTAGAGGTTCCCAGCACACGAACCAGTTTCGTGGGATGCAGAAGAAATTTTTAAAGGACTGCAACAAGAACGAGTCTGCGATCTGCCCTCTAAGAGGAGAACAGAGAAGGACGGTGGTGTTATGTCTTATTCATAGACACCCCCCACCCTGTATCCTCCAGGCTAAATAACGAGAGTCTGCCCGTTTGTGTCGCAGCCGTTCCTCAGCATCGTGCTCTTTGCCCTGGCCGGCTCCGTGGGGTTCGTGACACATTACCTGCTCCCCCAGCTCCGCAAGCATCATCCCTGGATGTGGATTTCACACCCCGTTCTCAAGAGCAAAGAGTATCATCAACGGGAACTGAGAGGTTAGTGAGCTATTCCTCATTAAAAACAAAAACAAGAAAGCACGGGCAGGTATGTTTACACCGGAGAGTGTGCACAGCAGTGTGAATGTACTCGATGCCACAGAACTGTACCTTAAAACATGGTAAATGGTACATTATGTATATTTTACCACAATGGAAAAAAGAGTATGTACCCTGGAGTATACCTGTAGTCCCAGATATTCTAGCCAATCAGAACAGGAAAGTTAAAGTAGGGCAAATTAGAAGTATGTTTTATAAAAATGTTAATTGGCTGTTGGTATTGCAGAAAAATTAGCTTACGTCATTCAAACTTGAAGATTATGCTGTTTCAGCTTAAGTTGACTGGGCCTAAGAGGAGCATCAGGTGACCGTGTAGTCAGTTCTTCACGAAGTACTGGGGTTGGAGCAGAGACTGACCATTCACCTTCAGGACCCCTGACCCCTCGCATTTCCTTTAATTTGCTTTGTTCACCTGGACCGACACCTGTATCTATACTTGATTGACTTAGCAGTTCCCATGGTTGTCTCTCGCCATGCCATGGAATAGCCTGGGAATCATGACAATTATGGAGCTTTCGATAAGAAATAGCTTTCTTCTCGATAAGAAGTCTCATAGGAATTTTTCTGCTAGGTCTTCCCTTGCTCTGCAGTTCCGTGCTCTGTGCTTGAATAGATGCGAGAAGGGCTGATTTATCCCCATTGTCAGACCTATCCAAAGTTGTTGGTCACAGATGGTAACTATGCTGTCTCATGTGCTGATTCTGCACAGAACTGTTGAGCCCATTGAACCTGCTTGGTTGTCCAGTGAGTTATCTAGTCATCTCTATGTCCAGGTGCAAAGGTATGTGAGGGGCACCAAGGTTTGCAGACTCAAACGTGCTGGACTCAGCCAGATTCAGGGAAAGGGGGAAAATAATTAAGAGAACGAAGATGCAAAAGTCACTGAAGATGCTGTCTGGAATAGAGAGTGTTTCTTCTGGGTGGGTCTGAGGGGCTGACTTAATTCAAAACAGCCGAAGTAGGAAAACCATGGCTTGTTTAGTGGGGAAATGTGGCCTCATGGGCCTGCTGCCAGCACAGGGTTTAGAAGGGTAGGAAGGTAACTCAGACGCCCTTCCCGTGGAGACTTACTCTTCTCATCTACAACATGAGGGGCTCACTTAAGGATCAAGGTGCATAATGTGTTTTTTTAATGTTCTGCATAATTTTAAGTGCTACTTAAATGCAAATTATTTTTAGTGTTATCATAACTGAAAGAAGATAGACCCAGAATAGTTCCATTTCTGATGGTTTGTGTTTTACAGTCCACTTGTAGAGAAAGATCCCACCCCTAACAGGTGCCTGCTTGCGGAGTCATAGAAGACCCTGATGAAAGAGTACAGTTGCTACTTCTGCAGTGTGAAGGTCAATTTCCCTGTCCTTTTGAAACCTTTGGAAAGACTAAGTTTTGGTGGAATTAGTGGAGTGCTTTGAGGTTTATTTTTTTGACATTATTGATAAGTTAGTCGATGGAGATTTGAGGTAAGCACTTTAACTTGGGGATCTGCTTATCTATCTTGTCTATATCTGTACTCGTATCTACCTAGAATTAGTTGTAGACCTACAGCTTTACCTGGACTTAGACCTAGACCTTTGCCTGCACCTATACTGATACCTATCTCCGTACTTTTACCTTTACCTAAACCTTTATCTCTACCTATTCCTTTACCTATGCCTACTTCTATACCTTTACAAGTACCTATAGCTGTACCAATACCTATATCTGTATCTTTACCTTTATTTATAGCTATGCCTTTATCTTTACCTATACCTGCATCTTCATACCTATAGCAATATCTGTCTCTATAGCTTTGCCTTTGCCTGTACCTACACCTATACCTATACCTTTGCCTGCACCTATACCTGTACCTGTACCTACACCTGTACCTGTGCCCATGCCTACACCTATATTTATACCTGCATATTTGAGTACCTTGTGGTAGGGAAAGAGAACTTGTCATATTGAAGGAGAGGAAAATGATACAGATTGGGCTCCCCTCGTGGCACTGTAGAGTGTGGAATTCAACAATGAAAGGTAAGAGTGGGCAGTTAACAACTTGGGATTGTGTGTGTGTGTGTGTGTGTGTGTGTGTGTGTGTGTGATTGTTTCCCCCCAAAATCTAATAGAACCCTATTTAAACTAGAATCATTTACCTATTTTAACCCTCCATGGCCTTTTTAATACAATATTCAAGAACAGGTAAAGTGAGTGTGTTTGTGTGTCTGGCTTCCCCTTCGGTGGGGCAGTGCTGGGCCTCTGTGTGTGCCGTTGATGCAGGCTGGGAGACGTCGCGCCCGCTCACGCAGGCTTAGCAGAGGCCGTGTGCATGTTTCTCACTAGCCTACACTAGCTGTTCATAAACAGCCTGAAAGCTAGCCTAGAGCCACAGGTTTGACAAATTAGGCACTTAACAATAAACAGATTTCATTTCAAAATTACGTGTTGGAAGGAAAGTCAAAAGATACAAAATTTAAAATATAGTTGTGTGAAGTGATTTCAGCTGAGTTACCCATTCTGGTACCATCACTGTCCTGAGTTTCCTCGCCTCTTCTTTCTGGCCTTCTGTCTTTTAGGGATTTGACTCTTCATTTCTTCCACCAGCAACAAAACATGCATAGACAACTCAGGCCAGTCATACAACTTTCCACATGAAAAATGTGCTCAAGTCTTCTTCTTACAGGAGCACAGAATGTTGTCATTAGGAAACAAGGTGGGGCAGAGCAGGACTAGCAAGTGTGTGGCACGTCACTGCTGGGACTCAGTGGTTCCAGAGCAGACATCACTACCTGAGAAGAGTCCTAGAACTGGGTCCATAGCAGACATTCCTAATCAATTGGAACTGGCTCATGAGATGAGGCATATGTGCTATCCCTGTTTTGGACATTATATCATCCTATCTTAACTGTTTTACACAGGTGGAAACTGAAGCCTAGCAAAGTCCAGGGATATAACTTGGGCCCTACTGATTTTATGGCCAGTCAGTGAGTAGAGCCTGGGTCATCTCACTTATATCCAGCCTAGTGTTCTTTCTGTTATTTGTGCTAATCTCAGTCCAGGTGGGAAGATGACGTACAGTCTGCATGTGGCTCCCAGGTTCTTTCTGCAATTGTTGTTACGCAGAAGAGCTGCATGACCACAGTTACAGTAGGTCCTATAAAGTCTAACCTGCCATGTTCTCGTGCTAACACTACAAGACTTTCATCCCTGATTTGATGCAGACTCACAACAGTAAATTCTGAACATTCTTGGGGTTTCTCAAACACACCACACTCTCTCCTTCTGCTCTCCTTGCTGTTCCCTTGACTCAGGATGCTGTTCCTCCAGCTTCACCAGATGGACACCAAGCTACTCACCCTTCAAGTCTCTGTTTAAAAGTCAGTTCCTCCGGGAGTCTTTCTCTGACTACCTAAACCTGATTAGCTTCCCCGCTGCTCCCTGAGCCTCTCTTCCGTGACATTCAGCACCTGTAACTACTGGTGTCTAAGGTAGACTGTCAGCTCCATGTCCACTGTGCACGCTGGTCCTTCAGTGCTCACCGTGGTGCCTGGCGTAGAGGGAGGCTCACAAGGCATGCTTGCTAAACTGCATTTAATGTAAATGTTAGCACTTTATCATCACGTCGTGTTCATTGGAACAAACTTTAAACTTGGTGTACGTACTTTCTTTTCTGCATACTTTGAACATGTATTTCTACTTGGTAGAATGTAGAGATACCAAATTGATTTTGATATAAAATTCAACCTATGAGAAATGGAAATAGGTATTACACTGAAGTTAAAGACTGTGAACTTTTTAGTCAATTCAGTTCTTTACCACTGAAACTAATTTTTTTAAAGCAAGCTCTATTCCATCCTAACCCCAACATGCTATTTCACCAATATTTGAGCTAGAAGGATAGAATCTATCATTTATGAAAGTCAAATGAATCATGGTGGTCATGTGGGCATAACTGAGTTATATCAATGGATGTGTGTGAAGTTGGTCTTTTTATAAAAATAATTTTCCATATTTTCTACCAATCTAAGTTAATAATGCTGAACTTGACAGAGTAGACAGCACTACAGACAACACAAAATTAGTCTAGTATGAAATTTTCAAGACTAAATGTTAAAGGAACACTGTAATTTTAGAAAATAAAAGAAATCTATTTTCCTAAATTAGGATGATGATTCCAGACAAATGACTTCGTCAATTGACCCCTCTTGTAAAACAGTAAAAAGTTGGATCTGTTTGGAAAAGTTGTTTTATCTAAAAACTTTATAGAGGAATTATGCTATTTAAGAATATAATTGAAGAGGTTGAGTCACATTTTCACATGGTCCTCCAAGGTAAACTTTCCATAATATTCTAATTCTTGGCTTTTAAGAATTTAAGAAAAATTGAAGTGATCTGATTTGATGACTTCATTCTTATCATAAAAACAAATTTTAATGGAGTTAAAAGAGATTGAGACAAAGTATAAATACATTATTGGAATTCACTTGTATACTTGTTTGTTCACTCAGGAAATGTTTATGAATGTACTATTCATTCTTTCAAAAAATAATCATTGCGTTCCTACATGATGCCAAGTCTGTGAGCCAGCAACACAGGAATGACTAAGATGTGCTTGCTGTCATCAAAGAGCTTCTGATTTGGTAAATAAACCTGTGGCTGTGACACAATGGAAGAGTCATGATTGCTACCCACACAGTAATGTGGGGCATGGCGCTGTGTTCAGCCCTGCAGGAAATACAAAGAAGTGGAAGGATAGACCCTGAGTGAGAAGCTTACAGCTAATTTCATGTTTCATTGGTTAAGCATTTCCAATTGGTTGGATATGCATAGAAAATAGAAAATATATGGAACTACATAATTAAATGTTGAATTTATATCTACTGCATGATAGGTATTCAGTAAATATTGATTGCCTGTGTATAGTACTGAAAAGCTTGCTGGTTACTGAAAACTTAAACTATAA